GCTTTTGTGATCTGCAGCGATTGTCAATAAAGATTTACGGACGCCCCAAACAGGGGTCACCTGCCCACACTGGATCACATGGTAGTTTTGAACCAATCCGGTTACAGTGCGCTTTAATGAGTAGTGCACTATGTTTGGATCGGTGCAAAATGAATGGGCTTGAAAATCGCACTGCACAGAGCCGCATGTGAAACGCACAGGAATGCACAGCGCGCTCCCGTGCGATTCAACGCCGGGCGTTGTTTGAACCGACCCTGAATAGGGTAACTTTTGCAATGAGGTGTAAAATGTTCATGTTGCTGCTTACTCTATAATCTATTCAACAGTGTGTCCTACTGTGCTGAACTTCCTGCGTTACAAGTAGGAGGGCTGTGGCTCTCCTACAGTGAAGGGATCCTGTCATTTACCTGCACTGCCCTCCCCCCCCCCCCCCTCCATTCACATAAAAGGCCTTGGAATTCTGTTCAAAAGGAAAAAAAAACAAAAAAAAGGTGTTCTGTGAGAGTGGATGAGGGGGAGAGGAGCAGGAGGGGAGAGGAGCAGGAGGAAAGAGGAGCAGGAGGAAAGAGCAGCAGGAGGGGAGAGGAGCAGGAGGGGAGAGAGGAGCAGGAGGGAGAGAGAGCAGAGCAGGAGGAAAGAGGAGCAGGAGGAAAGAGGAGCAGGAGGAAAGAGGAGCAGGAGGAAAGAGGAGCAGGAGGAAAGAGGAGCAGGAGGAAAGAGGAGCAGGAGGAAAGAGGAGCAGGAGGGGAGAGGAGCAGGAGGAAAGAGGAGCAGGAGGGGAGAGGAGCAGGAGGGGAGAGGAGCAGGAGGGGAGAGGAGCAGGAGGGAGAGGAGCAGGAGGGGAGAGGAGCAGGAGGAGGGGAAGAGGAGCAGGAGGGGAGAGGAGCAGGAGGGGAGAGGAGCAGGAGGGGGAGAGGAGCAGGAGGAAAGAGAGGAGCAGGAGGGGAGAGGAGCAGGAGGGAGAGGAGCAGGAGAGGCAGAGGGGAGAGAGCAGGAGGGGAGAGGAGCAGGAGGGGAGAGGAGCAGGAGGGGAGAGGAAAAGGAGAGTAAATGGCAGGTTCCTTTCACTATAGGAGAGCAGCAGCTCTCATATCCGCAATGCTGGAAGTTCAGCACGTATGCAGGCCATACATGGTTCGAATTCCGAATGATTTTTCATCATTAAAACATCATTCGCTCGGTAATCCGATGGCGCCATCAATGATTTTGAAAAATCGGCCGACCAAAGTCATAAAGTCCACCCCATATAAGAGGCGAAACTGTTCCTTCCAGGTCACGGCTCGTGCGCATATTCTTTTCGGAAAAAACGATCGTATGATTTGGCCATCATTGAGTAGAAAAATCGGTCGTTTTTCATATGAATTTTTTTAGCATTTTTTCTGAGGCAGATAAAACTTTATTTTGGTGGTATTTATTCACCGCCGGGATTTTTATTTTTTTGATATATAAATGAAAATGTCCAAACATTTTGAAAAAAAAAAAGTGTTTTTCTTATAAAATTTTGCAATTAAATAATCTTCCTTCATAAATCTTGGCCAAAATGTAATCAGCTATATTTTAAGTAAAAAAAAAAAAAAAAAAAAAAAAACAAATTAGTTTATAGTCAAAAATTATAATTTTTCAAAAATGTATTTTACATTTTTATTTTTATTATTATGTTGTTTTTTTTTATTTAAACATACTGTCACTCTAGCAGTACAGTGTCACCACGGTGACAATGTACTACTTGTGGGGGGTGATGAAGATTTTTTTTTTGTTTTGTTTTCTTTACACTGATTGCTTTTACACCCATAAAGGCTGTAATAGGAATCATTTCTCCTTCTCTCTGGCTGCATTCCTGCAGCCATTAAGAAATACTGTGAGAGCTGTGATTGGTCACAGCTTGTCACATGGTACAAGTCTGTTGTGAATGGCCCTGTACCATGTGACCTCAGTGATCATTCACAGATTTCACACGTAGCAAGTAATGATGTCAGAAGTGACATCTTGTTTACCGCTATTCATGTGATCACTGATAGGCCAATCAGTGATCACATGATCAAGACCTCACACAGAGGTGCCGTACAACGATCATTTTTTTCTATGATTTATTTTTTTTTTACATACTGTCACCATAGCAGTGTAGTGTCACCATGGTGACACTGTACTACTTGTGGGGGGTGATGAAGATTTTTTTTTTTTCTACATGGATTGCTTTTACACCCATAAAAGCTGTAAAAGGAATCATTTCTCCTTCTCTCTGGCTGCATTCCTGCAACCATTGAGAACTACTGTGTGAGCTGTGATTGGTCACAGCTTGTCACATGGTACAGGGCTGTTGTGCATGGCCCTGTACCATGTGATCTCTGTGATCATTCACAGATTTCACACGTAGCAAGCAATGATGTCAGGAAGTGAAATCTTCTTTACCACTATTCATGTGATCACTGATAGGCCAATCAGTGATCACATGATCGGGACCTCACGTAGAGGTCCCGTACAACGTTCGTTGTTCCACTGTGTCTGGCTGTTGTGAATAGCCCTGTACCATGTGACCTCTGTGATCATTCACAGATTTCACACGTAGCAAGCAATGATGTCAGAAGTGACTACTACGGATTGGGGTGGGGTCGCCCCATATATATTCTCTAGAACAGAAATCTATGGCAGCATCTCTGTCTCCATGGGTAACGGCAGCTTAGGGCTCTGACTTTATGCGCCTGGGCTTTCCAGTAGTAAAAAAAAAAAAAAGTGAATGGGCCAGTTAGCTGTAATCAGTGAGCAAACACCCTTTGTAAGTACACAGAAAGCACAGCGATTGTTAATAAATAGCCTATAAGAATTCAGCTTTCAGCAACCGGAGAGAACATTGTAATGAAAGAACAGCAGCCAGTGTGCAATCTAACAGAACATCAACAGCTACTTGTCTCCTGAAACAGGTGCATCTTCCTCCCTGACAGATACCATACATCCACGGCTAAAGCCGCGCACACATGACGGGAATATCAGAATAATTGTATTATTACTACTAAAATCCTGCATCACTTCATAAAATAGCTCATGCGGTATTTTAGTAGCATTTTTAGTGGATTGTGTAAAAAAAAAAAATGTCGGAAAAACGCTATTTTACCGCAGTAGATACCGCCTTGTGAATTGAGCCCATAGTGGCTGCGAAATCACTGCTCCAAGCCCTGGCTCACACTAATGCGGTGCGATTCCTGTGCAAATCACATGCGTCATCACAAGGTGCGATTCGATCCGTACATTTTGTGTGGCTCAAATTGCATCCACACCAAAAAGGTGCAGGAGTCTTTTTTTTTTTCATCCCTAATGGCACCCTGAATCACAGGGCTTGTTTGTCCCTATGCGGGCAGCCGATGCCGCACAGCCCCGAATCGACAAAGCGTTTTGCGTCATTTGGGGTGTTAATGCGACACTGTTACCCCCCACACGGGTGTACCAGATCGCATGTATGACCGTGCGCTGCGGGCAATATGCGGAAACGCATCCCTAGGGTTGCTGCGTGCACCCATTAGTGCAAACCCAGGGCTTTGAACATGACAGCCGTGCCGGAACATCACAGGGCCACGGGTGTATGAATGCATGCGGGACAAATGCAACATCTGCGTGCATTTGGGTGCATCCCTATGCGACCACAACTACACGGCTGTATAACATTGGAAGTTGTGGCGGGCCGCTGCAACATCTGTGCACCCTAACATGATATGCAACATGACTTCGGGCACACGGGTGTATGCAACATCTGTGCATCCCTATGCGGGCACACGGGTGTATGCAACATCTGTGCATCCCTATGCGGGCACACGGGTGTATGCAACATCTGTGCATCCCTATGCGGGCACACGGGTGTATGCAACATCTGTGCATCCCTATGCGGGCACACGGGTGTATGGAACATCTGTGCATCCCTATGCGGGCACACGGGTGTATGGAACATCTGTGCATCCCTATGAGGGCACACGGGTGTATGGAAACATCCCTGTGCATCCCTATGCGGGCACACGGGTGTATGGAACATCTGTGCATCCCTATGCGGCACACGGGTGTACGGAACATCTGTGCATCCCTATGCGGGCACACGGGTGTACGGAACATCTGTGCATCCCTATGCGGGCACACGGGTGTGTATGGAACATCTGTGCATCCCTATCCCTATGCGGGCACACGGGTGTATGCAACATCTGTGCATCCCTATGAGGGCACACGGGTCTATGGAACATCTGTGCATCCCTATGCGGGCACACGGGTCTATGGAACATCTGTGCATCCCTATGCGGGCACACGGGTCTATGGAACATCTGTGCATCCCTATGCGGGCACACATGCGAACATGTGAACATCTGTGCATCCCTATGCGGGCACACGGGTGTAACGGAACATCTGTGCATCCCCTATGCGGGCACACGGGTGTATGGAACATCTGTGCATCCCTATGCGGGCACACGGGTGTATGGAACATCTGTGCATCCCTATGCGGGCACACGGGTGTACGGAACATCTGTGCATCCCTATGCGGGCACTATGCGGGGGCACACGGGTGTACGGAACATCTGTGCATCCCTATGCGGGCACACGGGTGTACGGAACATCTGTGCATCCCTATGCGGGCACACGGGTGTACGGAACATCTGTGCATCCCTATGCGGGCACACGGGGTGTACGGAACATCTGTGCATCCCTATGCGGGCACACGGGTGTATCCCTATGAGGAACATCTGTGCATCCCTATGCGGGCACACGGGTGTACGGAACATCTGTGCATCCCTATGCGGAACTTCCGCCTGATTCAGGAGACAATTTAAAAGAAAGCAAGCGAAACCTGCAACTGCGTAGAAGCAGACTCTACAGTGGATTGGAACAGACAATCACATTTTTGACAACATAAAACATTTGTGCTCAAGATAAAAACCATGAAGCACAAAAAAATGACAAATCTTTCACAGAGAAATGAGGGAGAGGATGTAGAAGTGCAGAGCGGGGAGGAATGGTGTGATCCCTACCTTTCTAAAATGCGTTAGCATGTCTGGGCTCCGCTCACACATCTCTGTCAGTAGCACGACGGACGTGTGCAGCACGCCTGGGAAAAGAAAGCAATATCATGAACACAAACACTTTGAGATAAGTACGGAGCCTCAAAATACATCAATACAAAAAGAAAAAAAAAAAGGAAATCAGGCTCACCGTGGTTTTTTCTCGTTAAGCAGGTTCTTTGTGGCGGGTAAAAACATTTCCATGAGTTCTGGGACCTTTCGGATGACGTGGACAGCGCACAGTGCGGCCTTGACAAACAGACAGTTTTGTACAGGTGATTGTTATCTGAAAGTGACAGTTGCTTGGCTGCGTTTGACTGCAATACTTTGGAAGCACAAACCCTAAACAAGCATGCTACAAACGAGTGTCCGGATTCCTCATCTCTATCCCTGTTTCAGGCCTTTGGCTCAGAAAGTACTGAAACGGAAATAACGAGCAACCTGGAAAGCGAGCAAGTTCTCAAAATGGGACACCAGTATTGGCAGCATGTACAATTCTCTCATGACAGGTGTACTTAAAGTGGTTGTAAACCTTAGATATGAAATATGAACAAAAGCACATCCCTCTATAGTGTGTACTTGTCTCAGTCCAGAGCACTAAGATTAATTTCTGTCTGCATCCTCCGTCCTCTATCAGCAAGAATCACTTCTGACAAGTTTTCCTGACACCAAGAGAAAAATGGTGACAGGGGAGGGACCTCCCTCCTGCAGATTGCCAGCCTCACTCTGTTCAAGTGAGCTGTGTGGAGTGGGTGAGGGGTCTCTTGCCTCCAATCAGCTCTCAGGGCTCTCCTCACTAAGCTCTGCAGCGTGTAATTTCAGCTCTCTGCCCCCATTTTTTTCTGTGAGCTCAGACAAGCTTTTCCCTAGAGAAGGGAAGACCGCAGATAAACAGGTACAACTTATGTAGGAGGATTTGTTTCCTCTCTCTCTGTGTCGCCTGAGGCCAGTCACTTAGGTATATGGAAGGGTTTACAACCACTGATGCAATGCCGAGAGGCTTACCTTCTTCCGAAGATAGGAATTCGAGGTTTTAAGGAGCTTCTCCACCTCTCCTGCCAGGTCTCTGCACATCTCTGCTGATCCCATGCAGCCCAGTGTACACAGGGCCAGGCCTTGGACATACTGAGTGCTGTGATTCAGGTCACTAGGGAAAGAGGGAGATGGGGCAAATGAGCACAAACACAATGCTATCAAATCAACCGATGATGCAAAATACAGCAAACTCCTATTTATCTGCTTAAGGACCGCCCTATAGGAGATATACTGGGAGGCATCTGTGTGCAGAATCACCTGTATATATGTCATTTTGCAGGTAGGGGGCGCGTGCGAGCCATTTGCGCTCGTGGATGTCAATCACCGGGTCCCAGCCGGTAATTACCCAGCAGCGCTCGGTGACTTCCGACAATCACAGACGGGGAGGAAGATTGTTTTGTTTACAAACAATCTTCCTCCCCGTCAGCTCGAGCACACAGCACAGCACAGCCATCCCGATCAGTGTAATTACAGTGAAGCAACCCCCCCCCCCGCCCCCTAGTAAAACACTCCCAGCACATGGTTGATCCCCCCTCACATTAACCCCTTCCTGCCCAGTGCCATTAGTACAGTGTCGGTGCTTTTTTTTTTTTTTAGCACTGATCACTGTATTAGTGTCAGTGACACTAAGTCAGTTCCCCCCAGTGTCAGAATGTCCACTGCAGTCCCGCTAAAAGTCGCTGATCAACGCCACTGCCAGTAGAAAAAAGAAAAAAAAAAAAATTCCAGTATCTACACCGCCATTTGTAGATGCTATAACTTTCATGTAAACCAATTAATTTACACGGATTGGGATTTTTTTTTTTTTTTTAGCAAAGACACGGAGCAGAATACATTTTGGACAAAATTTATGACGAAATTTGATTTTTGAAATTTTTTTACTAGACATGTTTAACCCTTTGGCGCCAGCGCCTCCCAGCCCTTTAAGGGTTTCAGAAGCCGGGAGGCGGGGCCAGGGGCTGACTGACAACTCATGGGGCCCCCAGGCAATAGGGGATCATGGGGCCCCTCTGTCCTCACTCACACCCAATAAAGCCTATTAAAAAGCCAATGAAAGGTACCAGGGGCATCTTGTGGGGCCCCCTACTGACCCCAGGCCCTTGGGCAGTGCCCGAGTGCTCGAATGGTCAGTCCGCCCCTGGGCGGGGCAGGGTTTAGGGTCATGTGATCGCCATGACATGCCGTCACATGATCGGGAAAGGTCCCGATCGAAAGAGGAGATCGGGAGCTTTCCATGAGTACCGGACATGTGCTGGGAGCGCACACTCTCAGCACAGTTTTTTTTTTAATAGAACGCAAATGTGCGGCTGCTCGGCGTCTAGGCCCAGACGCCGGGAGGCCGCACATTTGCGTTCAGCCCGGCACCAAGCGGTTAATAGCAAAAAATATAGTCGGTCTTTTTTTGTTTATAACGCAAAAAATAAAAAAAACGCACAGGTGATCAAATACCACCGAAAAAAAGCTCTATTCATGGGGGAAAAAAAAGGACGTAAATATAATTTGGTTGCAGCGTTGCATGACCGCGCAATTGTCAGTTAAAGTAATGCAGCACCATAATGCAAAAAGTTACCTGGTCAGGAAGGGGGGGGGGGGGGGGAATCCTCTGGAGGGCGAGGGGTTAAAGTGATACTAAAACACACACTGCATAATTTACATTGTCCCTTCTATTTCTGTAGGGGGATGATGGCTCTGTAATCATTTTAATGGAAAAAAAAAAACCCATATAAGTAACTTTTTCCTAATTGATATACAGATGTCACATCAGCTCTCTCCCAGTTTGTCTGCAGGGAAATAGTGGCAGGAGGAGCTTCTAGTCCCCTACTGCAAAAAAAAAAAAAAAAAAAAAAAAAAAGCCTTAAAAAGGAGAAGTACAGCCAAAACTGTTTTGGCTGTACTTCTCAACCCCTTTACGCTGGCCGCACACAAATGGGCCTAGACCCCGAGTGGCCGCACATTTGCGTTCAATATACAGAATACATATGTGCTGAGAGCGCACGCCCTGCGTGCTGCCAGCACACGTCCGGTACTCACGGAAAGGTCCCGATCTCCTCTTTCGATCGGGACCTTTCCCGATCATGTGGCCGCCATGATGACGCATCATGGCTGTCACATGATCCCTAAACTCCGCCCCACCTCCCGGCTTCTGAGACTCTTAAAGGGCCAGGAGGCACCGGCATGAAGGGGTTAAAGCGGAGTTCCACTCACCCTGAAAAAAAAAAATAAAAGTCAGCAGCTACAAAAACTGTAGCTGCTGACTTTTAAAAAACAGCCACTTACCTGTCCCTCGGTCCCGCGGTGTGTCCCCCGCAGCCCGTTTCACCAGCCGTCCTGTATTCCAGGAGGCCGGCATCTTCAGTGTGGGCACCGCGCATGCGTGAGTAGCGCTGAACTTCATGAACGGCCCCGTAGTCTTCTGGGACCTGTCACGTGTCCCAAAACACCACAGGGAGGGAGGACACCTTCTGCTTCCGATCGCCTAGGCCAGGGGTAGGCAACCTGAGAGCCGCAGGACTACAAGTTCCATCATGCCTCTGCAAGTCGTAGCTGTAACTGTCAGTTTTGTAATCTTTGCAATGCCTCATGGGAAATGTAGTCCCACAACAGCTAGAGAGCCGCAGGTTTCCTACCCCGGGCCTAGGCGATTGGACCGGAAGTGGGAGCGGGTACCTATCAAATTTTGGTATCCCCCCCCCCCTTTGCCCCCCAAAAGTGCCAATCCTTAATGGGGAGTGGGGAAGCAGTCCTCCCCCTTTTGGGTGGAGCTCCGCTTTCAGTGGATCACAGGAGTGCAGTTCGCCTTGGTGGAGTTCTCTCTGCAGTGAAATCGGACTTCGGCAATCCCGCGCCTCTTACTTCTTTATACAGTTCGTCATTAACAAGTGGACATCTTGTCTCTCATCCAGCAGAAGCATCGCACCAAGGTAGCCAATCCTCTTGTCTGTGAATTTCTGAGAGGCAATTAGTTTCAGGCACTCCAGCTGCAAAGAAGAAAACATACTTTTAGGTCTCGGCCCATTTTACATTTCGTGCGATCATTTGCATTAAGCTGACCGATGAGTTCATCTCATTGTCAATCTGCTCTCTCCTTCTATCAGCATACTCCTTGCTAACACATGAATACTGCAGCACAACGCGCTGACTCCTTGCTCTGCTTCTCCCTCTACCAGTCTGAGCTCTACTGTAAAAGAACTGCAAAGTACTATTCATAAGTCACACTCCGGAACTTACAATGCCTGCAGTAAATGATGTATTTGTAAATACAAAACTGCATTCATTTGTGTCTGTTTTATGTGCCTGGAGTTAAAGCCGAGTTCCAGCCATTTCAGTGTTTATTAAAAGTCATCAGCTATAAAAACTGCAGCTGCTGCTGTCAATAAACACACTTACCTGTCCCGGGATCCAGAGATGTTCTCACCCCGCGCCGTCCCTTTTCTCTGCACCATGGCACTGACATCTCAACTGTGGGCACCAGGCTGTGACAGCTTGTGGCTTCAAAGCCTGGTGCCCACTGAGCATGTGCGAGCCGTACTGTGCCTCCTAATTGGTCTGGCAGTCTCCTGGGACCTGTGAAAGATCCCTGGAGACTGCGGGAGGGAGGAGGGGGACAAACGTTCGGCCCACTTCGCTGCGGCGAACTGAGCCAGAAGTGGGATCGGGTACCTGTCAACAACAGGTAACCGCTCCCCCCCAAAGGTGCCAAATATGGCAGGGGAGGGGGTGGGGGGGGGGGGAGCCAAACAATAGGGCTTCCACTTTAAGCAATGGCTAGAAAGCAATGAATAGAAAGCTATGCAGAGCAATACAAAGCAGCATGTTGGTGCTGACAGGAGAGATCTGTGTTGTTTACACACAGACCTCTCCCCTTTCACTGTTCCTCAGGCAATCGCCAGGTGCCGGCGGGGAATCTCCAGCCGGGACACGGTGATCGACAGCTGCAGCAGCCAATGGCAGGGCGGGTAGGGAGGCACATGCGCCCCCCTACCCAGAAATGCAAAATCAGAAATGTAGAGGAATACAAAGCAGCATGTCGGCGCTGACAGGGGAGAGATCTGTGTTGTTTACACACAGACCTCTCCCCTTTCACTGTTCCTCGGCAATCACCAGGTGCCGGTGGGGAATCTCCGGCCGGGACCCAGTGATCGACAGCTGCAGCAGCCAATGGCGGCGCAGGTAGGGAGGCGCATGTGCCCCCCTACCCAGAAATGCAAAATCAGAAATGTAGAGGAATACAAAGCAGCATGTCGGCGCCGACAGGGGAGAGATCTGTGTTGTTTACACACAGACTTCTCCCCTTTCACTGTTCCTCGGCAATCGCCAGGTGCCGGTGGGGAATCTCCGGCCGGGACCCAGTGATCGACAGCTGCAGCAGCCAATGGCGGCGCAGGTAGGGAGGCGCGCGAACGTTCCCCTACCCAGAGATGCAAAATCACGTATATACACGTGATTTTGCGCAGCCGTGTCACCCTGTAGCAGTAGTTCTGCTATAAGGCGGCGTGGAACCGATTAAAAAGAAACTGTCTTCAGATTCACTGGAACTAAATACACCTCTTTTAACCCTTTCGCTGCCGGGGACATTTTTTATTTTTTTTTTTGCACGTTTTAAAAAAATAATTTTAGGCCTTCAGATTATACAAAACCCCCAAACATGATACATTTTCTGAAAGCAGACACCCTAGAGAATAAAATAGTGGCAGTTTCCAATTTTTTTATGTCACACGATATTACCGCAAATATCAAAGAAAGCGCAAAATTTCACTAAAAATAAAAAAACACACTAAAGTGAATTTTAGGGCAAACAAACGCAATAAATTACCAAAATGTTTGGTAAAATATAAAAGACAAAGTTGCGCCGAGTAAATGGATACCAAACATGTCAAACCTTAAATTTGTGTACGCCTGTAAAGTGGCGACAAACCTCTGCACCCTGTATTTTCTATAGGCGACGCTTCAAAAGCCCCCTATAGGTCATCAGTTTAGTGTGATGGAGGAGGTCTGGTGCTGGAATGATTGCTCTCAGTCCGGCGTGTGCGGCGATATGTAACGTGTATCACAATCAATGTTTTAATGCACAGGCAACCCCAACACGTGTGTTTATGTTCGGACACAAAGCATTCCAATACATCTCTCCCCATAGCCGGGGAAATTGAAAGCGGTGACCCGGAAGTGACCTCACTTGCGGGTCACAGTAAGACGGGGAGGAGAGCGGAGGTGTGTCTGCTCTCCTCTCTACCAGCCGTCACCCGCCATGTTGGCCCCCCGGCCCGCAGAGCCCGGAATACAGGGCAGGAGAACCCCCCATTAAATTACTAAACAACATAAGTCTTTGCCGCGATCCCCAACACTTCGTTATCGTGTATCTAAACGTAAAACCCAAAACTGTATATTTTGCAGATTACTAGTTCATGGTGTGGTGGCTGCATTTGTTTTCTTTTTGTCAAACTTCTTTTTATCAACCACTTGCCCTCCGTCCTATAGCAGAAGTACTGCTACAGGGCGGCAGGGCTGCACAAAATCACGTATACATAACACACACGTGATTTGCATTCCTGGGCAGGGGGCGTGAGTGCGCCGCTCTAAAAAACACACACCGCTATGGGGGGCTAGAGATGTCAATCACCAGGTCACGGCCGGCACTCAGTGATCATTGGGGAAAGCTGACAGGGAAGAGACCGGTGTGTAAACAACACAGGTCTCTCTCCTGCCAGCAAGGACATGCTGCTGTATTTCTCTGCATAGCATGTCTCCCATGTAAATCCCACAGCACACAGTTAACCCTTTGATCGCCCCAGATGTTAACCCTTCCTGCCCAGTGCCATTAGTACAGTGTCAGTGCTTTTTATTAGCACTGATCGCTGTATTGGTGTCACTGGAGATGGCAGTGGCAGTTAGTCAGTTCCCACCCAGTGTCAGGACGCCCGCCGCAGTTCCGCTATAAAAGTCACTGATCGCCATTACTAGGCTAGGGTCAGATGGCACTTGCCTGCCCAAAGTGAGCAGGGTATCCCAGCATGTGCATATACAGCAGCAACATTGGCCACATTGCGGCAGCGATATGTGTTATCTTCCTCGCGGAACGACGAGCGGATGGCTGCACACTCTTTCTGGATCATCTCCCGTTCTTCGGCCTGTGTGCGTGCTGTCCGGATGGTGCGGATCAGCTCCCGCAGTCTGATAGGGGCCGGCATCCTCTGTAGAAGAGAAAGATGGAGATAAGTAAGCTTTCAGCACAAATATAATAAGTAAAGGCTTAAAAAACTTCAACATCCCCCCCTACTCTGTGTGGCGGCGCCCCCCCCCCCCCCCCCCCCCCCCTACTCTGACCTCTGCTCTCTCCTGCTCCCTGTGTGTCACTTTTCTACACTCTCATGCAGAAAACACACAAAAACACACACAGAGAAACAGACGATCATTCTACTGGACATCAAAAAGAGAAACACTGGGTGCTCCAGTGAGGGAATGGCGAAGCTGACCCCATCTGATGAATACAGAGTTGGGCCCAAACACTCAGACCCGGGGACACCGATACGTCCCCACCTGTCGCTTATAGACATCCTATGATCTGTGCATCACACCAGACATGTCGGCAGGGCCAGGTTTGTGGTCTGATTTATTTTGTATACATTGTGGTATGGGCCCCAGGATCACCGCCAACGGCTTGTAAAAGTCAGAGTCTTTACGGAGCTTGCAAACAATCCAGAAAACAAAAACAACTTTCTTCAAACACAAAAAAAAAAAAAAAAAAAAAAAAAAAGGAGTCCATAACTCTGATGCCATGATATTGCGCACCCCAGCTGCCCTGTAGCAGTATATTGGCTATAGGGTGCGGGAAAGCGATTAACCTCCCTAGCGGTCTGATGATGTCCATATTTCTGTGCTCAAAGCGGTACATTTTGTTTGCATGGAAATATGTATTTTTTTTATTGTAGGCTGTAATTCTCAGGAATAACTCACTGAAATCTGTCCGAACAAGAGTCTAGTAAACATCCCGGGGAGGATAAAATTTTAAACAGGAAATCATAAATTATAATTTAATAATCATAAAAAAATAATAATAATAAAAAATGTAATTCAATAATATAATCAAACCAAAAACACTGAAATGTCAAATTAAGGGAATTCCTTGGGGCCCCCCATGTCACCAGAATTGGAGACATCCCAAAATATGGGGTTTTCGTGTACTTTCACTTTCGATGATAATGATAAACTGGACAAATAGAAAGAATGAATCTCCATAACGGGGAATAACTCGTCTAGTCTAGTAAACATCCCGGGGAGGATAAAATTTGAAACACGAAATCATAAATTATAATATAATAATAATCATAAAAAATAATAATATAAAAATAATAAATGTAATTCAATAATATCATCAAACCAAAAACACTGAAATGTGAAATAGAGCGCCAAGTTGGCACATCGCTGAGCTCAGTCGCAGAATCGTTTTCAGTGTCTGATGAGGAATTTCCCCCACCAATCATTATCACTCAATTCTGCAAGTGGTTCTGATTTCCTATCGCTGTTCTCTAGCCGGTCTAAAACCGCGTCTGACCTAAAGGGACGCTTTTTGGACGCCATGGACGTTTCTCAGTTTCCAAGCAGAAAGGGCGGTAAAAATGCAGGCAGGGCGCCGGACAAAGCACTCGGGACACAATGTATGTGAAATGGTTTGATACAGGAATGTTATACAATGTGATTTTAGTGTATTTAGTGAATGTCACTTTTACAATTTGCAAATTTCCCGCCAGTTCCGTCCCCCGTACATCGGAACCGATGCCGGCATCGGCAGGACATTGCCGGGGACACTGCAGAGGGACCGCGGGAGCGCAGGACAAGGTGAGTGCAGAAGAGATCCCGGAGCAACGCTGCAGGATTCCCGAGCCAGGGGACGGACTGACCAGGGCACTCAGGCACTGCCCAAGGGCGCGGGGTCAGTAGGGGGCCCCATGAGATGCCCCTGGTACCTTTTTCATAGGCTTTTTGAGTGTGGGCAAGGACACAGGGGCCCCATGATCCCTTTTTGCCCAGGGGCAACATGAATTGTCAGTCCGCCGCTGTTCCCGAGTGTAGCTCGGGGGGGGTTACCGCTTGTGGTGCTGAAACTTTACCCCGTGCTACACTCGGGAATACCGCCAGGGGGGGTAAACAAATATTCAAAATTACATTGAAATACGAGAAGTGCTGCTTGGACGTGGAGGGAAATGACAATATCAAGTACTGGATAAAGACTGAAATGCATTGTACACGCCCCCTTTGCTTCTTCCCAGTGGATGCCATGTTCACGGAGGGCGGCCTTTGATGCTGCTGCTTTCCATCCTGACACGGCGGGTACAATTTCCTGTGGATGACAGCTGTGGCCGGTCTGAAGATTGGGATCATTTATCAATAAGACTGATTTTACTGTTGTGGGTTTAGTAACATTTTCATGTATTTCCTCCCACTTCCTGTTTGGCTACGGGACAGGAAGTGCAGGGAAATCTCTGAAATGGCAGATGCAGATGGCGAAAGAAAAAAAAAAAAAGTCAGATACAGAATAGTTCCGCTTTAAGTCTTGAGAAGTGTAAAAGTCAACTGCGTGTTGCGGGATCCTTCTTTAACCTGAGTGCATTTTTTTTTGGGCAACTCCTCCATTTCTCTGCGCAGTCGGGTAAATTATCCACAGGGAGTCTCAGGGAAGAAGCGCTTGTAATCACACCATAGCCAGCAATGCAGTATTCCGTCCGACACATTTCAGCGTTTCCAGCAGTTCTCTCTCAGGGTCAGCTTGTACCTGGGGCTATGGGGTGATGAGGTCCCAATTACAGAGACAGGATCATTAAAGTCTAGGATGCTGCATCTCCAATTAATAAAGCTGAACTCCAGGCAGATAAAATGCGGCACACAAGAAGGGAGGAGTACAGCCAAATTTGTACTTCTCCTGTGGATCACAGGAGTGCAGTTTGCTCTGTGCTCCGTTTTCAGCGGGAGAAAATATGGAGAGCCCAGCCTGGTATTGGGGAAAGATCCACGTTAGTAAATCGGGCAGGCCGGCCGCTCAGCTCTGCTGTGCTCCTCAGTCCTACCTGTTCCTCAGTCCAGTGGTGTCCTCACTGTTTTCTCTCCCGGCACCTTCAATGTGGGCACCCGGCTCTGATAGCTTACGGCTTCACAGCTGTGTGCCCACTGCGCATGCACGAGTAGGGCTGCTCTTCATGAATGGTCCGGCAGTCTTCTGGGACCTGTCACGTGTCCCAGAAGACTACAGGGAGGGAGGACAACTCCGTAAAAGTGGGAGAGGGTACCTGTCAAATTCGGGTACCCGCTCCCCCCCTTCCACTCCCCAAAGGTCCGCAGTCTCTGGTCATCTCCTGTACCGTGCCCGCAGTCTCTGGTCATCCCCTGTACCGTGCCCGCAGTCTCTGGTCATCCCCTGTACCGTGCCCGCAGTCTCTGGTCATCCCCTGTACCGTGCCCGCAGTCTCTGGTCATCCCCTGTACCGTGCCCGCAGTCTCTGGTCATCCCCTGTACCGTGCCCGCAGTCTCTGGTCATCCCCTGTACCGTGCCCGCAGTCTCTGGTCATCCCCTGTACCGTGTCCCGCAGTCTCTGGTCATCCCTGTACCGTGCCGCAGTCTCTGGTTATCTCCTGTACTGTGTCCGCAGTCTCTGGTCATCCCCTGTACCGTCCGCAGTCTCTGGTCATCCCCTGTACCGCGTCCGCAGTCTCTGGTCATCCCCTGTACCGTGTCCGCAGTCTCTGGTCATCCCCTGTACCGTGTCCGCAGTCTCTGGTCATCTCCTGTACTATGTCCGCAGTCTCTGGTCATCTCCTGTACCGTGTCCGCAGTCTCTGGTCATCTCCTGTACCGTGTCCGCAGTCTCTGGTCATCTCCTGTACTGTGTCCGCAGTCTCCGGTCATCTCCTGTACCGTGTCCGCAGTCTCTGGTCATCTCCTGTACTGTGTCCGCAGTCTCTGGTCATCTCCTGTACTGTGTCCGCAGTCTCTGGTCATCTCCTGTAATATGTCTGCAGTCTCTGGTCATCTCCTGTACTGTGTCCGCAGTCTCTGGTCATCTCCTGTAATATGTCTGCAGTCTCTGGTCATCTCCTGTACTGTGTCCGCAGTCTCTGGTCATCTCCTGTACTGTGTCCGCAGTCTCTGGTCATCTCCTGTACTGTCCGCAGTCTCTGGTCATCTCCTGTACTGTGTCCGCAGTCTCTGGTCATCTCCTGTACTGTGTCTGCAGTCCATTGGTTCAGAATATTTTTTTTCTTGGTTTCCTCCTCTAAAACCTAGGTGTGCCTTACGGAGTGACAAATACAGTAATTAGTGTATTCAGCCATTTGAGTTCAGCTTAAAAAAAATGCACTTTCAAATTTTTTCTGCATGGAAAAAAAAAAAAAAGCAACAGTTTGATCCCATGAAACCTTGTGAAATCCTATCTGAGAGCTTTCCATTTCTCTGCTCCGCCATTTGATCCAGCGGGTCGGTGACCTGTGCTGCACTGTGCAGAGCGAGCAGAGAGGAGAATAATGAGGGCCGGGTCCTCACAAAAAGCAGTCATGTATATTTAAGTCTCTGGCTGGGAAAGGCAGCCGCCTCTGTACTGTCCCTGCTGTGTAATGTGATCAGACTGGAGCAAACAGGACTGTCCAGACCTTCACATCATCACAGGATCCCACCCAACAGCAGGCACTAAATGTGGATTCCCTGTTTACTGCTGAGGAGCAGAGAGGAAAAATGCAGGACCCCTCTTCTGCTCCTCACTGCTGCCTATGGCGGGCTCTGAAACACGGCACTTATGTTAAAGCCCAACTCCGGGCAGATAAATTATCTTCCTTAGTGGGGCTGTGCAAGGGTTAATAGAAGGTTTTGTCTAAGGCAGGGGTCTCCAGACTGCAGCCCGGGGGCCAGATATTTGCTTGTCTTTATCTGGCCCTTGGGACAATAATCCTTCCACGATGGGGCACTCTTCCTCCCACTGACACCAACGATGGGGCACTCTTCCTCCCACTGACACCAACGATGGGGCACTCTTCCTCCCACTGACACCAACGATGGGGCACTCTTCCTCCCACTGACACCAACGATGGGGCACTCTTCCTCCCACTGACACCAACGATGGGGCACTCTTCCTCCCACTGACACCAACGATGGGGCACTCTTCCTCCCACTGACACCAACGATGGGGCACTCTTCCTCCCACTGACACCAACGATGGGGCTCTTCCTCCCACTGACACCAACGATGGGGCACTCTTCCTCCCACTGACTGACACCAATGATGGGGCACTCTTCCTCCCACTGACACCAATGATGGGGCACTATTCCCCCCACTGACACCAATGATGGGGCACTATTCCTCCCACTGACACCAATGATGGGGCACTATTCCTCCCACTGACACCAATGATGGGGCACTATTCCTCCCACTGATACCAATGATGGGGCACTATTCGTTCCACTGACACCAATGATGGGGCACTATTCCTTCCACTGATACCAATGATGGGGCACTATTCCTCCCACTGATACCAACGATGGGGCACTATTCCTCCCACTGACACCAACAATGGGGCACTCTTCCTCCCACTGACACAAACAATGGGGCACTATTCCTCCCACTGACACCAACAATGGGGCACTATTCCTCCCACTGACACCAACAATGGGGCTCTATTCCTCCCACTGACACCAACAATGGGGCACTAATTCTTCCACTGATACAATGCACTATTCCTCCCACTGATACCAATGATGGGGGGCACTATTCCTCCCACTGACACCAATGATGGGGCACTATTCCTCCCACTGACACCAATGATGGGGGCACTATTCCTCCCACTGACACCAATGATGAGGCACTATTCCTCCCACTGACACCAATGATGGGGCACTATTCCTCCCACTGATACCAATGTGGGGCACTATTCCTCCCACTGACACCAATGATGGGGCATTATTCCTCCCACTGATACCAATGATGGGACACTATTCCTCCCACTGACACCAATGATGGGGCACTATTCCTCCCACTGACACCAACAATGGGGCACTGACAATCCGCCTCTCGCAGTTCAGGTACGGCAGAACTTAAAGTAGAACTAAAGGCAATTTTTTTCTTCATTTACGATAAAGGAAGGGTTATAACCCGTCACTTTTTTGTCATCTGTGTCCCAATAGGGAGATTTCCCTTCACTTCCTATCCCATAGCCAAAACAGGAAGTGAGAGATTTGCTCCCTTCAAACTAAGGGAATTCCTTGGGGCCCCCCCATGTCACCAGAATTGGAGACAACCCAAAATATGGGGTTTTTTTGTACTTTCACTTTCGATGATAATGATAAACAGGACAAATAGAAAGAATGAATCTCCCTAACGGGGAATAACTCGTCTAGTCTAGTAAACATCCCGGGGAGGATAAAATTTGAAACACGAAATCATAAATTATAATTTAATAAATAATCATAAAAAATAATAATATAATAATAATAAATGTAATTCAATAATATAATCAAACCAAAAACACTGAAATGTGAAATAGAGCGCCAAGTTGGCACATCGCTGAGCTCAGTCGCAGAATCGTTTTCAGTGTCTGATGAGGAATTTCCCCCACCAATCATTATCAGTCAATTCTGCAAGTGGTTCTGATTTACTATCGCTGTTCTCTAGCCGGTCTAAAACCGCGTCTGACCTAAAGAGACGCTTTTTGGATGCCATGGACGTTTCTCAGTTTCCAGGCAGAAAGGGCGGTAAAAATGCAGGCAGGGCGCCGGACAAAGCACTCGGGACACAATGTATGTGAAATGGTTTGATACAGGAATGTTATACTATGTGATTTTAGTGATTTAGTGAATGTCACTTTTTTACATTTTCAAATTTCCCGCCAGTTCTGTCCCCCGTACGTCCCGACGTCGCAGGGAACGGAACCCGGAAGACAGATGCCGGCATCGGCCGGAGGACATTACAGGGGACACTGCAGGGGGGACATCGCGGGAGCGCAGGACAAGGTAAGTGCAGAAGAGATCCAGGAGCAGCGCCGCAGTGTATTCCCGAGTGTAGCTCGGGGGGGGTTACCGCTTGTGGTGCAGAAACTTTACCCCGAGCAACACTGGGGAATACCGCCAGGGAGGCTACAGCCTCAAAAGCTGCAAGGATGGTCTTCATCCCTGTGACCTCGATGTGATAGAATCCGACTTCAGAGGGATTTTAACCAAAGCCAAAGTCACGGAACATCAGTCACATGAAAGTCACGCTTAGGTCGCACTGAAGTCGCAATGCAAAGTTGCACGACTTTCAAGTCACAGCCATGTGAACCAAAACTAAAGTGGAAAAAACCCCAAACTAGAACCGTACTTAAAAATGTTTCCTCCCTCCTCCTCCACCTACCTATTCTGCCTAATCTGTATAAAAAAAAAAGTAATCTTGTCAGGTGATCCACCAGCTCCAGCTCCCCTGTGTCTGTGAGCAGCTGCTGCAGGGGAGGAAGGAGTGCAGACAATGGCTGGGCCATGGGAGCCTATGAATGACATCACAGATCACATTTTGTATGGCTCAGATCGAACTGCACCAAAAACATGCAGGACCCTTTTTTTTGTCCGCACTAGAATCGGATCGGTATTCACACCTATGCGATTCGATTCTGCACATGGCACCGCGTTTGCGGACTGATTTCGGGGGGGTTGGTAACTGAACATACACCCCTGCATCGGTTCGCGTGAACGGGGTGCGATTCTGAGGCGGTGCGGCATTCGCACAGAAAACAACTTGAACCCGAGCTTAATAACGAATGGTCTGAGGCACAAAGCACCTGCTAAGTATTCCTCGCACACTTCTCATTATACCCAGAAACAATGTAAGGAATGCCGGCCTCACAAAGGCTGCGGAGCTGCAGAAGGAACTCGCTGTGTTCCAATACACAACTAATCAGTAATCTTTTAACATTAACAGAACCCAGCGAGCTTCGCTCCACGGATCGGCGTCTGGAATGTGACTTTGTGACCTTGCCATGGAGGCGGCCGGCCTGCGCTGCTCCATCACCTTCTACTGAAATACACACAAGCCCTGAAGGCTGCAGTACCAGAGCTCGGCATCTCGGCGTGCCACACGATAGATCGGGAGGGGAGAGCTGGAGACGGGGAGAGCTGGAGACGGGGAGCTGGAGATGGGGAGAGCTGGAGATGGGGAGAGCTGGAGATGGGGAGAGCTGGAGAAGGGGAGAGCTGGAGAAGGGGAGAGCTGGAGAAGGGGAGAGCTGGAGAAGGGGGAGCTGGAGACGGGGAGCTGGAGACGGGGAGAGCTGGAGACGGGGAGAGCTGGAGACGGGGAGAGCTGGAGAAGGGGAGAGCTGGAGAAGGGGAGAGCTGGAGACGGGGAAGCTGGAGACGGGGAGAGCTGGAGACGGGGAGAGCTGGAGAAGGGGAGAGCTGGAGAAGGGGAGAGCTGGAGAAGGGGGAGAGCTGGAGAAGGGGGAGAGCTGGAGAAGGGGAGAGCTGGAGACGGGGAGAGCTGGAGACGGGGAGAGCTGGAGACGGGGAGAGCTGGAGACGGGGAGAGAGCTGGAGAAGGGGAGAGCTGGAGAAGGGGAGAGCTGGAGAAGGGGGAGAGCTGGAGAAGGGGAGAGCTGGAGAAGGGGAGAGCTGGAGAAGGGGAGAGCTGGAGAAGGGGAGAGCTGGAGGGGAGAGCTGGAGAAGGGAGAGAGCTGGAGAGGGGAGAGCTGGAGACGGGGAGAGCTGGAGACGGGGAGAGCTGGAGACGGGGAGAGCTGGAGACGGGGAGAGCTGGAGACGGGGAGAGCTGGAGACGGGGAGAGCTGGAGACGGGGAGAGCTGGAGAAGGGGAGAGCTGGAGACGGGGAGAGCTGGAGACGGGGAGAGCTGGAGAAGGGGAGAGCTGGAGAAGGGGAGAGCTGGAGAAGGGGAGAGC